GCCGCCTCCGCCCCCGCAACCCGCCGCTGAAGACGGAACTGCCGGTGAGACGCAGGAAATTCCACTTTCTCTAAGGAGAGGGAAATCAGGTTATAAGAATCCGCGTATTTAGCTGCGCAGGCCGGATGATTTAAGGGGAGCCCGTATTGATTTTCCTTCGAACAGAATACCCTCAGCGATTAGAAAACATTTTTAATCTTTCGCACTGGTGTGAATTCGCTTTTTTATTATTATGTGGTGAAAGATATCAAAATCTATCTTTTATTTTAAAAAAACATGCTTTCTGTGTAAAAAATGAAAAGTAGTTATCCTATTAATAATCTGATTTATCTCATCTCGGCATGATATAATGAGGATTTCGAAGATATGCGTGAAAATTAAAGTAGGAATAACTAATATACTTTCAATCAATACTTTACAATGAGAACGAATACTAGCGAGTAGACTCCCACGCTTCACGAGTTTATTTTTATTTTTCCTTTGAATATCTTTGACCTTACAAGTTACGCAATTTCAGTACCTTCCTACAAACAATAATTTTAAATAATTCTTCTTTTCGGTTCATTTACATCGCAGTTACCAGCAATTACGGACTCCCAGTTCTCCGTGGCTATTGGCGTTTCATATTATATTCAGAATGTTTACTTAAGAAAAAGAATAGTTGTGGAGTAATTATAACATAGAAATTGTAAATTTGTGTGATGAGCTGTTTTCATTCATAATCATTTCATTTGTTGAAAATGGTTTGTTAATAATATTAAGGAATATGATAAATAAATTTTCTATCAATTCTTCATACATACAAGTTACAAAATTGGTGTATATATGTAATATTTCAGAACATTTTTTAAGTAGTTTTCTTATACATTCAGGCTTATTTGACTTATCTATTTTTCCTCTATCCAGTTTTCTCCACCTGCCGACGTACAGTCCGCAGCGACTCCTTGTGTTTTAAAATATGGGACGATTACTGCAGGGTTAATTATAAGATTTTTCTTAAAAATGCCAAAAATCAACAGCGACGTGTGGAAACATTTTTGAAACTTGACACCAAAAAATACTTGCTTGCTAAATGTGTAATTCAATATTTAAAACATGTAAAAAATTAATCGATTATATAAAATTAATTAATTAATTAATTCGGAACGATTAAACGATCAATATTCTAATAAAAATAATCCATTATATATTAATCGATTATTATTTAATGATCGCCCAACGAGCGAAATACGGTGTGTCGTACCCTATTTCTTGATTCGAGGGAAATGAGAGTGGAATGGGGGGAGGTTGCCCATGTTCGCAGGAGCGACTCCCACACGGTCAAATATCTCGTGCGAGCACAGCATCATCGCAGCGAGCTTTAACATGTCTATAGTCCATAACAGTACTATTTTCTCCCATTAAACCAGCAACAATTTCGAGACTGAAGAAAGGACAGAATTTATTGTAGTATCTTGACATTGAAAAAAGAGTATTCAGTTTAACCCTCTTTGAACGAACATCTGATCATACGGGACATTTACGACCGGGTCCGGGAAAATTCGATTTTGTCAGAACGTGTGTGAAACATAGTGGTCACCTCTCTTAAACGGACATATGTTTCGGCTTCGAGCTTGGTCCGCTAGTATGTGATTTAACTGTATTAATTTGATAGAAAATATATTTTATCGATAAAATGTATTTTAAGAAAAAATGATTTAATGATGACGTAGTAAAAACAAGAACACAAACATTAACCATCAAATTTACCGACACAAGAGTGACTTGTATTATCTGCCCAGAGAAAACAACGATTGTCGATATCAAGGCAATCCAAGAAGCATTGTAGCAAGTAGCAAGTAGTAGTACTCCTAGCGCGCTAATCTCGAGCTAATCTCGAGCATCTCCAGTTGAGAGGCAGCACCGTGTCACGGCTACCATAGTGTTTACCATCACTTCCACTACACCTGAAATAGTATACTCTTCTTGGGATACGTGTGGTATGCATTGTAGTACAGATGGAGATAATGTAAAAGGTGGTGCCTCAAATTTTAGCAACTGAAGCCAAATGCCTCAAAGTTAACTTCAAAATTTTACACTATACACATTCCAGCAGTTACCCAAGTAGTACCAAATGCTAGCAATTGAAAATTTAGTAAAAAGCTCATAAAAGTGCATGTAAAATTAATGTCATTAATTCATTTCACTATCACCAACTTATCTTTACTAACAATCTGATTTCAATTAGACTGGGGTTGATATCCTTTGAATTTCTGTATCTGCATAGTGAAGATAATAATGTTGGATAAGAATTGGATAAATGTTTTAACGAACAAACTACATTAGACGCAAAATTGTGATTAACAACAAACCAATAGAACACACACAATTTCACGCAATTAGGCTTCCATGTAACTTACTTTCAGAAAAATGACATATGCAGGACGGACTAGATTGTATAATATGTTTAAGACAATAAAAACAACATTTAAAGGACCTTCAAACAACCCAAATGAAACACTAAAACTCTGACAGAACTCCTGCTAACTTATGCATATCAAAACTCTACAAATTGAGCAGAGAGAAGAAAAATAGAAGGCGCCAAAATTAAATTGTTATGCTGAGAAGCAGGTTTAGATTATCTTAGGTAGAGAATATAATGATGACATTAGAACCAAACTAAATGTATTCAGTCTTGATTCACAAAATTCAAACATTAAAGAGATATAGACAAACATTAAAGAGTACCACATATGTCTCTGACTAATACCCATTAGAGTATATCAATTTAACCCCAAAGGAAAAAGAAGTGTTGGCCTTATCCATGAATCGGAAGATACGAGTAATGAAGACATAGAATTTGCTGAAAGTGAAATCGGCCCCGGTATTTTAAGAGCTTTTGCTCCACCACAGGAAAAAAAATGGAGTCGTTTTTTCAGAAAACTACTGGCAATTCGCTTTCTATACAATAATAGCCTGCGGGGTATAGGGTTGGAATTTATAAAAAGTTACGTTCATTACCAGATAATACAATTTGAATATTATAGCGCAGTACGTTTTTCTTTTGCAAGTACCTACACTGATGTTTTTCTGCTGCATCCGACCCTAGTTGCTAGTGGGGGGTGGAGAACGTAAGGAAGGTTAAAGGAATGGATTTTTGCCAGTAGAATGCGTAGGACTGGAGTTGATTATGTGTTGTGCAAGCTTGTTGCCGAGTGCATGTTTTCCAGCAATGTTCATGTGGAGATCATGCCGGGTGAAGTTTTTCTGAGACGAAATTAATTTAAAACGTGTTACATTTGTTTCTCTTAGTTGCATTTGCAATTGTTGGTTTGCATGCTTAATCTCACTGCATAGTACTGGTCTGTTGTACCAGAAGGGCAGGGTCGAGACAACAATATTAGTATTTTGGGCGGCACATTGTAATATATTTAGATGTTGTTCAGGTGTAAAGTGAGCAGCCAAATTAATGTCATTCTGCCCTCCTATGATAATGATGTGTCCTGATTGGTCAGTGACCTCGTGTGGGTGTCCAACTGTGCAGTCACGTCTGCAAACCTCCCATAATGTTTAAAAATTGATGAGATTGAGTAGTTGGCGGGTAACGTCCCAATGAGAAAGGAGGAAACATGACGGCACTAGCTGTCAGCTAAAAATGTAGGCTCAGTAGAAGTTTCTTTGTTTTCAAGTGGTCTAGATAGGCTCAGCTTTACGTGTTTCGGTTCGACGAGCGTAGATTCTCTGCGTTGTTTGTAAATATATTTGTCGATGATAGAGAAGGATTGCGAGGATCAGGAAGGTTGTTTCATAATTTAAAACACAAAATTTGTTTTGTGTTGCGACTGGAGGTGGTGTCTGTGTATTGTATGCAGTCACGGGGGACATGCACGGTTGGGAAGATTCGGAGTGTTGCCGACTTGTACCCGACCGTCTCTAGAGAGCGACCTCTTCCAACCTTGTGATACGTTGATCTAAATTATTGTTTATGTGTGTGAAGGCTTTCACAAGATCGGCTTTGAGGGTTTAGAGAGTACAATAGCACTTTCAGTTCATATATGAATGTGTGAGAACCAGAACGGTGTAAGTGATATTATACACATTCTGAGAATTCTGTTTATTTAAGTCAATAGAAAGTCCTGGTGCTTTGTTCCATCATTATAACCACGGCATATCAATTGTTCATTGGAACCACCGAAATACATCGCCACTGAAATATAGCTTAAAATAAACACGTTTCTCATTTTTTTTCCAATGTCACTTATACCGTTCTAGTTCACGCCCATTCATAGTAATATTTAAAACGTGCTCTCGGCACGTGGTCGCCGCAATTTCGCTTCGAAGACGCGCGTGCAAGACGCGCAGGCGAGAGCCCTCGGGCCCGGGGCCGGGGTTTCGGGGG